GGGGCAAGTCAGGGAAAATCTTTTCAAGTTTTGTCGGGACACCGTTTTTCTTCTATCTAACATGCCATATCGCACATTTTGATACATTTTTTGAGGTGATTTAATCAGCACAAAGCAGAAAACAAATCTTATGAGTATATGTGATCATCATACAATCATATGCACATGTAACACTTGCAGAGAAATCTATGTTTATTTGCAGATTCTTGACCTACGTCGTAACATTGGGTCTCACTTCCGGTCAAGAGAAGATACTCTGTGGCGACTTGATGTTCAGCGGACACACCGTTGTACTTACAATCATGTACTTCGTGCAGCTTCAGTATACCCCCAGGGGGTTGGTCTGGATACGGTTTGTATAATTTTATTTGTTATAATATGTTTGCTATGCTTTACGTTCGGACAATTTATCTTTCTAGATATCTGGCCGCTCCAATAACTTTTCTTGGTATAAGTGCACTAGTGGTTTCTGGAGGTCACTACACAATGGACGTTCTCATTGCGTATTGGTTGACAAGTCATGTATTTTGGGCTTATCATCAGATGTTCGAGATGCCAAAAAAAGATAGGCCTGATGCGCCAATGAGTAGGCTTTGGTCAGTTCATCTTTAAATTTTATCTTGATCTCTTTCACGAGGAATTGTTCCATAATGTTCTCTTGATCGATATACACCTAATTTAACAAGAGCACTGATTTGGTAGTCGGCTGGCTCCCGTTAGTCAACAGGCCTGCACGCATTCACTAGCCTCTCCGACTATGAAGTAGAGATGCGTTCGGCGCATGCCCGCAGAGGGTACTGAAGACGCAAAATTCTACATTTTTTAATTTTTAATTTACTGTGAACTCTTGAGAGTTGACTATTTGTAGTGTTTATGAAGTGATGATCGGTGATATGTGGTTGTAGGTGGTTTTGGCTCTGCTACTGGTTTGAATCTGATGTCGCTGAAGGACGACTAGTAAATCGCTGGGATTGGCCATTTGAAGGACCACAAGTGATGCATGACTTGATGCGGCGAGTGAACAGAATTCTTGAGTAACCTCTACTTGTTGTTCAATTACTAATCA